TCCGCCTCCCCCTCTCTCCCTATTTATTTCAGAACCCCCTTCCCCTCCCCCATTTCTGAAGAAGGGTCTAGGCCCGAAATGTCAGCCTTCCTGCTCCTCTGATGCTGCTTGGCCTGCTGTGTTCATCCAGCTCTACACCTTGTTATCTCAGATTCTCCAGCATCTGCAGTTCCTACTATCACTGAAACAATTTTTACTCCTGGCAAGAACCACTTCATCAGAATAGTTTAAAATTAAACTTTGATTATCTATTACAAAATATCCAAAGTTCAACCACTGTGAGATTGCAGACATCAAATTGTTTAACTTGGCTTTCTCACATTATTATATGATATGGCTAATTTGCCAATGGCCAAGATTACAGAGTTATCAATGAAAGTACACAAAACCACTAGTGAAACTAAAGCTTCCAGGAAAACTGCAAATAGCTGTCTCTAGATAGAATGTGAAATGTTATGAGCAATTATAAAACTATAAAAGGTAACATTCAGCCCTCAAGTCTACTCTGCTGTTCAATTAGATCATGGACAACCCCACTGTCCTGCCTTTTCCCCACAACCCTTAATTCTCTTACTGATTAAAAATGTCTTTCTTGGCCTTGGTAATACTCAAATGACCCAGCCTCAACAGCCTTCTGTGGTAAAGAATTCCATGATTCACTGCCCCAAGCCAAGAAATTCCTCTTCATCTGTCTTAAATAATCTTATTCAGAAAATTGTGCTCTCTGGCTGTAGACTCTCTCACAAGGGAAACAAGCTTTCCACAACTCTCCTGTTGTTTCCTCTATGAATCTTGTATGTTTCAATAAGATTACCTCGCAATCTTCTATTTTACAATGAGTACAGACACAATCTACTCAACCTCTCCTCATAGGACAGTACCTCCATACTTGGGATTGACTGAGTTATCAGCTTTCCTAATATCTAATACCTGTGGCAAGGAAAGTTTGCCATTAGAAAGAAAAATGTACAAATATAAAACTTAACTCTGACAACAATTAGAATTGTTCATAAGGAAGTGTGGAAATCTAAACTGTTATACTGGAGAACTTCTGATATTTTATCATCTGCAATTCTCGATTACAAGCAAAACATAAGGAACCCGAACAACCCTAAATTACCTCTTCTCGCAGCTCATACTGTTCTATTAGTTTCTTCAGTTGTTCAGCTAGTTCGATGTTTTCCTGCCGTAGCTTAGTGTTGTGCAGGTTGTGCTGATCCATCTGGGCCTGAATTTCATTGAGGGTCATTTGAAAATGCGCTGTCACTTCCTTGCGACGTTCTTCTTCCTCCCGCGCTCGCTGCATGTTTTCCTCCTGTGCAATTTAAAAATGCATTTGTAGTCAGTTCATTACCCCGACTGAATTCCTTTCAAATGTAAAGGAAGCAGTTTGCAGAAGTAAAAACTGGACCAGGGCATTTGGCTTCGAACCTGTAATCACTACACAAGACGACCCCAAGAGAGCTATGATGGATTTTATTGGGAAGAGTTAGGAATCATCAAAACCCAAGGTTTGCTGTGACAGGACCAATAACAGCATCAGCCATTATTTAGACCTGTCCATCCATTTCTTAAGGTTTTACAACTTTTGCACAGGCCAGCAAAAACGTGAGCTGAAAACATTGCAGAGAAGGAAACAGGACGTTTGGCACCTGGGAGTGAACAGGGAAAACAATATGCACCTCTTTAACCAGTCAGACTGAAGGACTGTGAAATTGTCAGCACAAAGACTGAGAAGCAAGTGTAAATTAGAGCCCGTGCATTCCATGTTAAATTGGCTCCAGAAGGGAAAATAAAGCAAGGGAAAGGAAGATCGGCTCAAGAAATCAAGAGTTAAACATAAAATAATAATATTTTTAAATTTGCACTGCTTAAACCTACAATAATTAAAAATTGATAGAGTGAGACTCCATCAATGTTTAGTGCCAGAGACAGGTTGTTTGGCAGGAATTAACATTTGGGCCATTAAACATAATGTCAGTAAAAGGGTATAAACAATATCACATCATTCAATACCATGGGATGGAAAGCCAGACAGCATAAGTAAAAGTGACCCATCTTTGTTAGAAAGCTGGTTTCAGCACTGACAAAGACAGCCATATTGCACATAACACTTGCAGTACTGGAAAGCTAAAGTTGAAATGTTAAAGCTGCGAAGAAATTTGTATTTATGATAAAGTTAAGGCAGCTAAGCTAAAATGTTGAAGAATGAACCAGTTCTCTTGATTCAGGACAAAAACCCTTGGCCTTCAGAAGAAGATATCACATATTCTGGGATCCACAGAAAGACAGATTTACACACACTGACCTTGTGTATCATGCTATGCATCAACTAGTGGAATGTCTTCATTTTTAATATACCTGGTCAGTATGCACTCTGTATTAGCGATTGCCCTTCTTGCCAGTATGATTATTCCCCTGAAAATAATTTTCTTACTCTGGACGTTTAGCACTATGTCCAAATCCAAGGCAGGTAAACAGAGTTAAGATGCAGTACAGTTATGAACTAGTTGTAAATCCGGGTCAATAGCCTATAATTAATTATTGCTATGTACCTTACTCTATTTGCTACAATTGTGATCACTCACCTAGGCAATATGCCTTTGTAACATTCAGCTCTTATCTGTTCACTGATGGCTGAAGAGTGTTTAGCATCATTCACAGCTCCTCAGATACTGAATAGTCTGTTTTCGTATCTAGACTTGGGCTGATCATTGCAAGTAACATTTACACCATGTAAGTGCCAGGCAATGACCATCTCCAATAGAGAGAAACTAACCACCCCTCGACATCCAATAACATTAGGATTACTGAATATCTCACTATCAACATCCTGGGACAAGGGGGGAAAGCAGTTAGCCACTGACCAGAAACTGAACAGGACCAGCCACAAACATGCTGTGCTACAAGAGTAGGTCAGAGGCTGGGAACTTTCCTAATTAACTCAGCTCCTGAATTCCCAAAGCTGTCAGTCGCCTACAAGATACAAATCAGAATAGAGACAGAATTACTCACCACTCGCCTGGATGTGTGCAGCTCCAGGAACATTCAAAAAGATCAACACCATCCAGGGCAAGGCAGCCTGCTTGACTGTCATCCCATGCACCTTTTTCAACATTCACTTTCTCTACCACCCAAGCACAGTGGCAGAATATACCATCTACAAGGTGTACTGTAGTCACTCAGTAAGGTTCTTTCAACAACAACTTCTAAACCCATGATCTCTACTACCTAGAAGGACAGGGGCAGCAGATGCATAGGAAAGCCACCAACTGCAAGTTTCTCTCTGAATCACAAAGACTTGGAACAATATTACTGTACTCACTCGATCCCAAAATCCTGGGAACTCACTTCCTAATAGTACTGTGAATGTCCCTACACTTAGAAGACTGCAGTGGTTTAATAAGGCAGCTTATCACCACTGTCTCAGATACAGAGTGGGCAATAAATGCCAATGATGTCCACATTCCATTAACAAATAAAAGGATACTTTGTATGCTTCCTGACTTGGTGGCAATGAAATTTTTGTTAATCCCTGTGTCGAACTTTTTCAAACGTCATTTACATGTGCATACAGACAACAACTGGAGATGATATCCTATCGTGCTAGCGACCACCCCAAAGGATTTAACTAGGTTTGTCAGACATGACATAGATATCCATAAAGCCCATATCTGTAGTTTAGCACAACTTAAAATATAATTTAACCACTCCCATAATAAAATGCTGCAATTAAACTGAAGCTAAATAACTAGACCGTACAGTACTTTTAACCTTCACTTTATCAAAAGCAGAACACACTCACCTTTAAGGTTTTATTATGACGCTGAAGTTCACGGCAAAGACTCTCCAGCTTACTACGAGCGAGAATGGCTTTGCTGTGCTCACTCTGCAGGTGAACTTTCTCCTTCACTATCTGTGCCTGTTTCTTCTGAAGTAGTTTTATTTGCTTCTGGACACTTCTGTTCTCTTCCAACTAGGAATAAACAATGAGCAGATTACTAAAAAGAATGCTGCCAATGTGCTGACCTTCTTAAATCAGATACATGAAACTTTTATATTGCTTATACCCACTTTAAATATAAAGGTAACAGCCAGTGACACTGTTAGAATTTATTAGCAAACTATGTTGTGTGTAAAAATAAACTGTGTGACACAAGACCATGGTGAAGTACTTAATTACAGATCTGGTGGTGTGAAGGGCAATTTGAGATGAATTAATATCATAAAATGCATTTGACACGATAAAGAAGTGTACGCATAGCTATGGCACTTTCCTATCATCTTAAGTGTGCAGTGACAAAAGGGACTCTTTACAAAGTAAATCAACTGGAATGTAAATTATCAAACAGATAATCCAACAAATAAAGAAGCTATAATAATACTCCAAAATTTTGATCACCGCTTCTTAGACTGAACAAATCACTCAATCTCAAGAACACACTGCATTTCACTATGAGTCAATACACTGTGATAAGAAATCAAAACGATATGAACACAAATTGAAAAGGGCGATATCAGAGAGACTTAGCAATAGTTCAATCTTTTTAAGTGGGGAAAACAAGGTGACAAATCTGTAAATAGTATCTTGGGTTTCGTAATCAGGGGCAAAGAGTACAAGAACAAAGAAGCAATGTTCAACTTCGGTAAATACCAGAGAATTAGGTTTTAGCTACAAGAGAAACCAAAGACACTGAAACCTTTTACCAGAACAGAGAAGGCCAAGAGAAATTCTGAAACTTTCTATGTGGAAAATTAATTAAAATCAGCTAAAGGTTTGATAACTAAAAGGCATAAATAAATGGCATAAAGCATAAACGTTATAAAATCTAGTAATAGCTGATATTAAAATGCACAACCAAGAAAACGAAAGCCAATAGTGCATTTTGAAAGGAAAAATGAATAAATATAGTTGGACTCGAGAAATGCAGAAAAGCACAATAGATTTTCTTCCTGAGATACATATGTACCCAAAGGAGAATCAAACAAAAATATAATGTATCTGTATGAAAAGCACACAAACCAATGTCCTAAGAAGAAACATCTTGGTGACACAAATAAATAATGATTTAAGAGCAAAGTGTTATTCCCTAATAATGGTTTTCCATTAGTCATACGGGGAGTCAGTGCTGTAGTCATATTGTCACTGGACTAATAGCGCAGATACTCAGGCTGACGTTTGGAAGACATGGGTTCAAACCAAACCGTGGCAGATGATGGAATCTCCAGTGTGGAAGCCTGCCATTCGGCCCATTGAGTCTACACTGACCCTCCGAAGAGTATCCCACAAAACTTGATTTCCCTCCCACCACCAACTACTGTGTCCCTGTAACCCTGCATTTCCCATGGCTAATCCTCCCAGCCTGCACATCCCTGGACACTATGGGCAATTTAGCATGGTCAATCCACCCTAACCAGATGGTGACATCTGAACGGATGGAAGTTTGGAATTAAAAACTAACCTAAAGGTGACCACGTAACCTCTGTCGACTGTTGTGAGCAAATCTGGTTTAATAATGTTGATTAGGAAAGGTCATCTGCTATCTTTGCCTGGCCTGGGCAGACAGTCAAGACCCACAACAGTAGGTTGACTCTTAACTGACCTACCAAAGCACTTGGTTTCAGCAGCAATAGGGATGGGCAGTAAATGTTGGCCACCCAGCATCACCCATATCCCATAAACAAAGGGAAAAACACTGCGGCCAAACTGAGAAGGTATGTAGGGACTGAAAAAAAATTGCTGGAAAAGCTCGGCAGGTCTGGCAGCATTTGTGGAGAGAAATCAGAGTTAACGTCTTGGATTGAGTGTCCCTTCCTCAGAACCCTTCTGGACCCGACACGTTAACTCTGATCTCTCTCCACAGATGCTGCCAGACCTGCTGAGCTTTTCCAGCAACTTCTGTTTTTGTTTCTGATTTACAGCAAATGCAGTTCTTTCGGTTTTTATTAAGGTAGCTAGGGAATTTGCATCATAACATAATCAGGCACCCTGTGCTAGTTTGAAAATTTCAACCGGACGAGACTAGTTTGTTCACTTTTATTAATTATCGGCAACAAAAGCTGCCATCTTGGAGAACATTTAACAAGATGATCCTTCACCTTCAGCACCACTTCCACATCACAATAAGAAAAGTAAAACTGATGAAAATGACCCAAAAACACCAATAAGACAAAAAACAAACTGGAAACACTTTGGTAACTTATCAATATCCTCAACTAACCTCTCCTAAAGGCCACTGACTCCTGTTGCATGCAGCCTTTAGTTCCTTGCCGCAGCAACAAATAATAATAATGTTTTAATGGAGAGCTTGAGCATTGTGACCAAAGTCATTTCTGTCCTCACCAAACCTTTACATGCTTTTACTTCTATTACAAGTTACTGGAGATCAATTAAGAACTAACACTAATATTTTCCCCTCCCCAGCTCAGGAATGTTGAAACCAATCTCAGTGGTTCTTGGCCCATAGCTCAGTTTCACATTGATCCATCAACCCAAACTGTAAAATTCAACTGCAGTGATGCAAAAAACATTTAACATTCAATGCATAAGAAAAATACAGTCAACTTTCGTATGACTACATTATGCTGCTGCAATTGATTTTAGAGGCAAAGAAGTGATGCAGATATCCATTGATAAGAGTCTTGAAAAATGTTTCCTTCTGGGTACTCGTATTGCTACAACTGTACTGAAAATGGACTATCAATATTCAACTTTCACCATTAAAATTCAATATCAGACTTTCATGGACTAAAAATGGTTTTAAAAAAAAGACTCTGGTGACCTAAAATGGCAGCTATGACCATCTAACAAGCCCAGGTACCACACACTGAATATACAAACAAGAGCTGCAATGGAATTCCCATCTTAATCAAGAGGGCCTGAAACTCAGTGAGCTGTCAGAAGCTTGCCTCTTTTATTTTGCTCACATTTACATCATATCTTCACATATTGGAGATGGAATGTTACTTTAGAAGCATTCAGTTTGTAAAAAGACAATTGAGGCAGACTTGGAACATACAAACAAATCATGTTTCAGTAGCTTTCTTTGAACAACAATGCAGAGGGAGTTAGCAATATGGAATGATAACAGCAAAGATGCTGGAAGCTCCTCTCGCTCTGCCACAGACTCCCTTGAGCTCAGAAAACTAGCTGATGAAAAGCAACAATGATTCACTAATAACTCCAGGCTATCTACAGTTCTACCATTACAGAGGAGACAAGACAACAATTAAACAGTTGGCCATTGGTCTTTTCATTCACACAACCAAAGGCACTCTTAAGATCTTTAACTATGTTTTGTTTTATTTTTTTTTCAGTCATTGGTAATAAAACTCCATATTCTTGCTCCAGAATTGGCTCTGCTTTATTTTTTAATCTGGTTAACCAAGATTCATTAAGTGTGATAACTATGTCTTAAGACAGAATAAAAATATTTGTCACAAGTAACTGAGAAAGGGTTAAGAACAGGGAAACCATAACCACTCCTCACTAGGTCCATTAAAGTCTGCTTACTTTTCCACCATCTGATGGGTAGTGCTGGAGAATGGGACTAAGAGCCAGGATGTGTGGGTAGTGAACTCTGACCTGTCTTGTGAATGGTCAGTCATGTTGCCAATAAAATAATTCTGCAAGTTGAGAGGACAAACACTGGAAGATACAGCCTGTTGCCTTGTTCCCCAGAGTGATGGATGGTTTAGGAAGTCAAAATTCCAACTTCGTAGGTGACGGAGACTTCCACCAGAAAGCAATATCTGAACTATGTCAAACACATAAATAAGTTCTGTCCTCATTTATAACATTATATTAAATCTACATGGTCTAAAGAAAGTTCTCACTTTCATGGGGAAAGCAAAATGGAGCGGTTTTATTATTGAGCAGGTTTTGCATCAAATTCCGAGCTCTGCATTTCCTGTGAGCATAGCAATCCAGTGGCTGTATTTGCTCCTATTCCAGTGCGTCAATATCGAGCTCATCATCTTCTTCAAGATAGTCCAGTACAAAGCAAGATATCTTAGTTGGAGATAGTAAGAAGCCAATGCTGGAGTCAGATATAACAGTGTGGAGCTGGAGGAACACAGCAGGCCAGGCAGCATCAGAGGAGCATTTCTGCAGAAGGGTCCTGTCCTGAAATGTCAACTTTCCTGCTCCTCTGATGCTGCCTGGCCTGCCGTGTTCCTCCAGCACCACACTGTATTATATCTTAGTTGGAGATCGGTTCCTGGGTCGGCAACATCAGGGGAATGGGGAGGTGGGGGCTGAATGATCAGCATGCATTACCACTTGCATTGGCTCAGAACTCCATCTCCAATCTACTAAGCTCATTTAGAACCCAAAACACTTCAAGCCTTCATAATGTATTTGACACTCAATCAAATGATAGTGTACACAACACTAAAAATGACCCCAGGGACAAAGGGTTGGCGGTAATTCTTAGGGCCAAACACACTAGCAACATACAACACTTGATTTGTTTCTTCGTTTGTCCATGGAATGAGGTGTCACTGGCTCCGCTAACATTTATTGCCCATCCTTAATTGCACAGAAGGCAGTTTAGAGTCAACAACATTGCTCTGGGTCTGGAGTCATGCGTAGGCCAGACTGGGTAAGGATGGCAGATCTCCTTCCCTAAAGCACATTAATGATGAGTTTTACAACAATCAACAGTGGTTACACAGTCACCATTAGGACAACTTTTTATTCTAGATTCTTACTGAATTTGATTTTCACCACAGCAGATTGGAGTGCTCTGGATTTTGAGTTCAGTTCCACTTCTCCGACACCACTGCCTCCCCTGTTGTTACAATTAGCCTTCAAGGGACAAAGAATCTGGTTTGTTTCAGTAAATTGAAACATTGCTGAAGCGATTTGCTGGATAATCCTGGCTCTTATTAATGTTTAGCTAAATGGTGAACACGCTCCAGACTGCAACAGGCTTTAGGTCTATCTACAGGAATGTCATTTCAGCAACACTGAGCAATCAAGTATCAAATGTAAAAGAGTAAAGAGAGAGACCTTCCCTTACAAAACGCAAGGCTGCACTCTACCACTCTCAACAGCACACTTCGACCAAGGGGTTTCACTTGCAATTAAAGGGGAAAAATCAGGAATAACGGAGAAAAGGCAAGACGTGAGGAATGTTGGATCAGTCTTTTTATTCTATTCATTCACAAGAGAGGGCGTTGAAGGCTAGGCCAGCATTTATTGCCCATCCCTAATTGCCCAGAGGGTAGTTATGAGTCAACCACATTGCTGTGGGTCCAGAGTCACATGCAGGCCAGACCAGGTAAGGATTGCAGTTTCCTTCCCCAAAGGACATTAGTGAAACAGATGGGTTTTTCCTGACAATTGACAATGAATTCATGGTCATCATCATGGTCTTAATTCCAGACTTTATTTGGTGGAATTTGAATTCCACCATCTGTCACGGTGGGATTCGACACCAGGTCCCCAGAACATTAAATAGGTCTCTGGATTAACAGGCCATTGCCTCCCTCCTAATTGTTTGTTTTTTTGAGTAGTTCTTATTTCTTATGGTCTTAAAACAGGCACCAAGATGGCCCCAAATCAAATTCTCAGACTGTTCTAGGAACGACGGATCTTGGTTGTGGCGATGGTGTAAATTACACAAGGGAAAAATTCACCATAGTCCCCTTTCCAGGCCATTAACATGCTGCAGGGGACCCTGTGGAAAGCAACCACTGATGGAGGGAGAGGACAGGACAGTTTTAACTATGCTGTTTTTAAGGTTGAATAGCATTCGCAGATTCACTGCCTTGAATCACACAAAAACACTGGAGATTGCTGGGCTGCATGAAGTGCTGGGGAACAGCAAGTACATCTTTTAGACTGCAATGGGCCGGGGTGATCGTGAGGTGCTAAAAACAATCTCATTTAGGAGGAACAAAACAATAGGTAATGAAAAATGCCCCAGGACCTCAGTGCTGTCATGCAAACAGCAAGCCAGAACAAAACCAAGCTGGTGCGGCACCCTAAAAAACTCAAACTACAGCCAAGACTCACACTAGCTCTGTTACTTGGATGAGGTACAGGAGCACAACAATACCTTGTTCCTCAGCAAAAGGTAAAGCAAAAAAATCCAAAGAACTGCGAACACTAGAAATCAAAATCAAAAACAGCAACTGCTGGAAAATCTGAGCAGGTCTGGCAGCATCTGTGGAGAGAAAGCAGAGTTAACATTTCAGGTCCAGTAACCCTTCCTCAGAACTCCCCTTCTCAACTCAGTTCTGAAGAAGGGTCACTGGACCTGAAATGTTAACTCTGCTTTCTCTCCACAGATGCTGCCAGACTTGCTGAAAATTTCCAGCAATTTGTTTTGGAGAAGGAAAAGCGAAAGAAAAAAAGGTTTCCTATAACCAGTGCCACAAAATTGTTTTTATTTTCCAGAAAGTCAGTGCTTGATGAATAAATGATGATCATCACGCTAAGTTAACAACCCCTTCCAATCGTTGATGGGCCTCTCCCATGCCTACCTCCAGTCGCCCCAGACGACTAGGGATATGGATGTTTTGGAAAAACAACAGAACAAATACTACATCAAACCTTGCTTTTAAGGCCTTGATTATAACAGATCATAAATGCAGGTCATTCGGACCTCTGAACCTGCTCTACCAACACAATATAACGACGGCTGATCTTCTAACTCGACTTCACTTCCTGGACTATTCCCTAAATCACCTAGTTTCTTCAGTACCTAACACGTACATTTAAAACGCTGTCCTGACACGATAGCGGAATGGAACCAGCTGAGCTACTCTTGCAGAAAGCATTGAAATGACAGCCTCTTCCTTGTTGTAACCATACCATGCTGATTTTACGAATACACTCAGTGACTGAGTATCCACAGATATCTGAAGGTCAAGAATTCCAAAGGTTCACAATAGTCTGAAGTGAAAACCATGTTCTCCTTCACCTCAGTCCTAAATTGCCAACTTTTTACTCTGAAGCTTTGAAATTTGACTCGAGATACCACCAGGAGAAATACCCTCCCTGCATCTACCCCTCACGTCTCTTAAGAATTTTGTATATTGCAGTCAGTTCAGATCTTTTTAAACTCCATGGAATATATGCCTAGTTATGCACTCATAAGTTCAATGAACTGATGTTCTAAGGCTAATAATGTAAACAGAAGAATGTCAAAAACTGTAGCTACTTCTATTTTTCTCTTTCCTCATTCCCTCCGCTCCCAGTTCACAATGTGTAATATTACGGCAGAAGTAACACAGTGACACAACGTACCAAGTCTGCATATTTCTTGCACAAAGCTGCCAGTTTCTCCTCTGGAGTGCTGAGCGTGTTCAATGCTTGCATGAGCAACATCACTTCTTTCCCTGCAATGCAATATGAGAATCAATAGCAATTTTTCATTTCAGATACAAGATTTACACCTCCATTTCCATTTAACACCTTAGTTAACAAATCAAGTCTCTGGATGCTTTACAACAACACTGAATTTTAATGAGCAATGTAAACCATTCAATAAATACACCAGAACGCAACAAAGAAACACAAAGCCCCTCAACTTCCAAAACTGGAGATTAAAATCATTTCTGAAGAGGAAAGTAAACATTAAATGCCCATACCCACAAAGTATTGAATTAAAAAACACAGCTACAGGTCAGAGCATGAATCAATAAATACAGATCCCCCTGCAGTTATTAAAGCCGATCATACTAGCGAGCTGAAGAGACGTGATCTGAAAATCCACTGCGTAGGCTAATTACCAATGGCTTAATCCAGTTCGCTGGTACAGTAAGTCTTTTAAAAACTTCACCATGCAAATTACATCAGCAGCGCTGTGGTCAAGGTGGTTAGAAAATAGTTTATCAAATCAATCATTTTACATAGTGTTCAACATTCTGCATCTGGTTACAGTGGCTATTCTTTCCTCTTGCCTCATTTTATACAAACTATTGCTCCTAGCAACCAAAAGAACATGAGGCTTTGCTTGCATTCAAGTCTATTTAACTGTGAACTGCAAGACTACTAATACTGACATGTTTTCACTTAATTTCACATCAACACCTTATACTGTATATATAGTACCTTTAATGTAATAAAGCATCTCACAAGGTACTTCACGGGAGCATTATTAGAAATGTTTGACACCGAGCCACGCAAGGCGATTTTTGCTTATTGATTTGGTGATATAGTCAGGATAATGTGTAAATTGGAAGGGAACTTGCAGGTTTTGACAATCTCATTTTTCTGCTTCCCTTGTGCTCCAATCAGAGCTGGACGAGGTTCCCAATTCATTACAGCTTCAGACAGCAGACCCCAAACTGCTAAGCCTCCTGGTGAGCAGGGATGAACTATTTCCCCTTCTTCAATCAGCCAGCCCCTCGGCCAATTGTAACAAGGTGAATTTAGAAAGGATTTCTTCTCTTCTGAATATCTTTGTCCCAGATCCAAATGAATTTCAAAGGAGCAAATTTAACCAGGTTTTCTCAAATCAAGAGTGATTTTATTAACTACTAAACACGAGAATTAGTAACGCTACAAGCATCCACATAGATTCAAACTAACAGGACAATCCAACAGATAAAACTTAAAAAAAATAAATACATATCAGCTTCTAAATTGTTTGCAGAAAGTGGATAGTTGGATGTTGCAGCTATTCCACTGGCGGTTACCGGTAGCGATAGGGTTAGAGTTAGGATGTTAGCAGTTAAACAGTTGATTAATCTCGAGATTCTTGATTTTGCAGGTTGATGGAAGCTTGTTTGTCCCGATTCTTTTTTTTTTAAAAAAAGTGGTTTGCAACACTGACGGTGGATTTTCCTTTACCTGCAACACAGGGGCAACTCGGGAATCAATGTTTGACTGTAGTCTTCAAAGGGGGAAAACACAAACTGTATCTGCTGTTTTGGATATAACCCACAGAGGACGGCTTGCTGTTGAACAGGGGGTTACCAGACCCTCTTTGTCTTTGCGGACATAAGAGATCACATTCCAGTCTGTTTGAAGTTTCTTTGACACTTACATTTCATCAGTTTCTCTCTCTAGCCACTTACTTTAGATCCACAGCCACTTCTGGCAGTATCAGCCCTCCTTTAAAAAAACACACTTTGGCATTATCAGTTAACAGTCTACTGTACTTCAGGCTCTGGCCCGTCATCATAACACTTGTCCATCCAAGTGACAGATTGCGTGTTGGAAAGGTCCTATTCAAGGAGCCTTGGTGAGTTGTTGCAGTGCATCTTATACTACACACTGCTACCATTGCCTGTTCATGGTAAAGTGATTAAGTGTTTGTGGATGGGAAGACAATGGAGTGGGTTCTCTGTCCTGGATGGTATCAGCCTACTTGATTGTTGTCGGAGTTGAACTCAACCTGGCAAGTGAAGGGGAGTCCATCATGCTGCCATTTTGTGCCTTCTAAAACACGGGAAAGGTTTTGAGGAATCATTGAAGAATCACCAGTCTCTGATCTGGTCTTGTCGCTACAATATTTACACTGCTGGTCCAGTTCCATTTGGTCAATGGAAACTCCCAGGGTTTTGATAGTGGAGAGTCAGTGACGGTAATACTATTGAAAGTCAACAGGAGGTGGGTAGATTTTCTCTTGTTGGAGATGGTCATTGACTGGCACTTCAGTAAAAAGTAACATTTGCCTGAAACATCATCCCAAGCCTGATTGTTGCCCAGGCCTTGCAACATTTTGCACATGGAGGGCCCAATTATCAAAACTAGGTCCATAAGACTGGTTTTAGAAGAAGAACTGAAAAGAGAAGAGGGAATCAAAGAGACAGAGGTTTAGCAAAGAAACCGTAGAGTTTAGGGCTTCGGGAGCTGAAAACACCACAGTTATTGGGGGAGCTAAATCGAGAACTTGAGGTCTGAATGAGAAGAACATAGGCTTCTTGGAGTATTAAGAGGCTGAAAGAGATGAGAGAGTTAGGAAGTAGCAAGGCCAGGGAGAGTGTCATTTTTTTAATCAGGAGACAATGTAGATCGATGAGCAGGAAGGTAAAGCATCAAGTGAAATCGCTGTCAATTAGGACAAGAGTCCTACATTTAAAGGGTGGAAGAATGGCTCATTGGTAGAGGGGTACTGGAATAGTCAAATCAAGAAGTAACAAAGGCATGAATAAAGGTTGTGGTAGTAGATGAGCTGAGACAGGTTTAGAGCAGATGATGATGATGATGATGATGATACAGAGGGGAAAATTAGCTGTTGTGGTGACAGAACTGAAATATGGCAGCACATTCTGCAGTCACACATGACACAGAGGTTCCAGGCAGCATGCTCATAGTTCCTAAAGGCAGGAACAAGACAATGGCTAGGGAACAGATTTTGTGGCCTGTCCACCATCTACAAGGCACAAGTCAGGAGTGTGATGGAATACTCCCCACTTGCCTGGATGATTGCAGCCCCAACAACACTCAAGAAGCTTGACACCATCCAGGATAAAGCAGCCCACTTGACTGGCACTACAGCTACAAGCATCCACTTCCTCCACCAACGACACTAAGTAGCAGCAGTGTGTACTATCTACAAGATGCACTGCAGAAATTCACCAAAGATCCTCAGACAGCACCTTCCAAACCCATGACCACTTCCATCTAGAAGGAAGAGGGCAGCAGACATATGGGAACACCACCACCTCCAAGCTACTCACCATTCTGACTTGAAAATATATCGCCGTTAATTCAATGTCACTGGGTCAAGATCCTGGAATTCCCTCCCTAATGGCATTGTGGGTCAACCTACAGCTGGTGGACTGCAGCGGTTCAAGAAGGCAGTTCACCACCACCTTCTCAAGGGCAACTAGGGATAGGCAATAAATGCTGGCCAGCCAGTGACGCTCCCATCCCACAAATGAATAGAAAGAAAACAGGATAACGAGAGGAAATTTCTGCTCACTAGCATTAGATGAGCAGCCTGACGACTGAAAAACACTAGATGACTCAAAAGAAGTGGAAGAGTTGAGAGAGCAGACAGTCATCAGTGTACATGTTAAGATGTGATTCCTGGGGGAGACGAGAGTCAATGATGTGGGATCAAAAAGAGAAGTCATTGCAGGTAAATCTCTGGCTGTAACTAAATAGGGAAAAATAAACTGTAAACCTATGCAGTTGGATGACAATGAGGAGATATTGATGAATGTCACGGTCGCTTGTATCAAAGGTGCAGACAGTTGAAAAGGTTGAGGAGGAAGAGTTTATAACTATACATTGGAGATTTTGTGTGATTTGGATTAAAAAAAAAATTTGATACTGTGACGGGGTGGACTGGAGAGACTCAAATGTGGAGCTCAAACACTTGGAGAAGGAGACTGAAAGAAAGAAGATGGTTTGTAAGGACAGAGGGGTGTTGGTATTCTGAGGAGTGATACTGTTAGATCTGAAGCATTGGGGCTGTACTGAAGCAATTTTGGTAAACATGGGAGAAAACTAGCTGGTCAGCAGTTTGGTTGGCATGAGGATAGAGCTCATCTTGTCTATAGAATGTGGGGTCTCCCGGTTAAGATGAGCTTGGAGACGGCATAACGGGAGACAGGAGAGGATTTGATGGGAGTTCAAAGTGAGGCAGTGCAAGGTTAGAGGAAGGTGGGACCTGGGAAACAATGGGATGTGGCAAAGACAGATGATCAGATGGGATCAGTCTTACCAACATAAATCCATGGGGCTCCTCACACTTGCTGGTGGTGAGGTGACAGAGGTAGGCAAGAGACGCTAAGATGGTTTGTAAGGCAGTGAAAAACAGTTCAGGGTTACATTTTCATTCCAGGATGAGCATGGACTGGCGAGCAGTTCTGGCAGAGAAGTGCAGAATTCAAGAGTGCTTTCTGTGGTTCTGATGGGTTGTGGGGAGGAGAAGAGAATGAGAAAATGAGACAGCGGGACAGAAAAGGAGAGAGAGGCAGGAGAGACGAGTGTATTAACAAAACAATAAGAAATGGACTTTATCTGTGACACAATAGAAGTAGCAAGGCAACATAAGATAACAAAGTTAACAGGGTGGCTGTGAAGATTGCAGACTGGTTGAGAAGTGGTTAGTTCACCACTGTCACAGACAGACACACTGGACTTGTAACAGTGGCAAGATCCAAAGAGGAAATTTGATTGGAATTCTAAAAAAGTTGTACATGGATTGGGAAGCAGCAGCTGTTACGTACTTTGTAAGGGAAAGGGAGATTTGGATGGAAACACTGCTGAGTTGCAACAATGGTGGGGTCACTAAAAGTCTTTCCAGAAGATGGGCAATCATGGCAGATTTGAGGGCGTAGGGGGAATAGCATTGGAGTAGAAGGAAGATCAACACTCCAGGTTTTTCCACAGTTTAAAATACTTTTTTAAAGTTTCTATGACTCCTGGAAATCATAAG